GAAAATAAAACTTTTTCACCGGTTTTATCAATAAATTCGAGTCAAAAAGACAAAGCTTTACCGTTAAGACTTCCAAACCAAACTTCGTCACTTTCTTCGTGTATTTCGGGAACAGCTTGCTTGATTAGTTGTGAAATTTCTTTGTTTGTTACAGCAGCAAACCGGGAAGGCATTTTGCTCGCATATTACGAGAGTTTGGCGTCGCTCGCTCGGAGGAGCTGGAGGTGAATCAGTGAATAGTGCAGGATATTCACTGCCGGACTGAGTAGCCAATCATAGCGCGCGAACACTATCCACTGTGTTAGTATATACTAAATAAAATTATACGCCTTTATACTCGCTCCGAGATTGAGATATCAAAACACCAGAAAATACTCTAAACAGATGTAACGGGATAGTAAATACTGTTTGTACAAAAAGGATTTTCTATCACTCCTGTATTTGCACTAATCAATCAGTGATTTCATGCCTTTAATTGCATGGAAAGTGAAAGTGTTCATTACGATAACTTTACTGCAGTTGTTGCTGTTGAGAACAATTTTAAAACAGCTCAACGTCAAATGACGTACGAAAAAGAAAATGATGATAATAAGTAAGCGAAGGTCATACTAAAAACTTAAGGCATTTATCCTTGCAGGTGCTTCACCTTTCGAAAAATAGCGAGTGGTAGCTATAATTAAGGCCTTAACTTAAATCTGCTTTATCAAGCATCAACCTGAATAAAAAGAAGCTGAAGAATTATCTAAAATGTAGTTCGTTTCTGTAACCTCGCAAGTATCAACATCTTTCTACAAAAGGGTAAAAAAAAGTATAATGAAAACCCCATTTATCAAAAGGAAAGGACAGCACTTACCTTTCCAGCAAGTCTTTTAGTTATTAAAATGAAAACTTCATCGAAGAACGGATTACAAATCCTTTTAGGGAAAAGTAAGCCTTGATCTTGTTCTTCCACTGATATGTTTAGCTTATACACGTCATCTCCAGCTTTGTTGTGATTGAACGAATTAGGAAGTTTAAGCAGCGACGTTTTCGAGCGATCGACGCATCTCAACCGGAAGTGAGCCTTTTTCTGTTTTTAAATGCCTTGACGATACCAAATCTGTATTGCTAAGTGACTTAACTCTTACAGGGAGGATTTGCTCAAAAATTTGTTCAAAATCGTGGCTCAAGATTGCAAAAAGTCCACTTCCGTTCGACTTGAGTCGCTGAAAAACTTTGGTGCTTATAAACTCCCTAATGAAGAAAGTTTGGCAGCGGCGTTCAGAAATTCGCGCCAAAACCGTCAAAACACGGGTGCTAGGATGTAGTCTTTCATCGCCCCGTCGGAGTGCGGCCATCTTGGTTTCTGAACATTTGGCTCGATCTAGATCTTTCAGATCTTTGTGCATCGTGCCCTATTTTTTTTCTCACTGGTTTAATTAATGAATGTGTGAGGGACAAGCATAGATTCTGACTGAGGTCAGAGTAAGAGAAAAGTGCTTCCTATAACGCCTTGAGTTCGCAAGTTAAGTCAGTCTCTGTTTATCGATATTTTTTACTGTCAACGAAGCAGGCAAAAGCTCAATGCTGAAAGGAAGAAAATTATACGTTTAAGTGATTACTTACGGCTTTCTTTTTTTCATTTTAATTACACTGGACAATTTCCTTGTTTTCTTCGATTTAAGCTTTAATGCTGTACGAATCGAATGCATGCAAATTAGTTCGTGACTAAGTACAAAGTTTCTTAATGATAGGCGGCCAAAACAGTTTTCTGCTGAGTGGTCCTGCTTAACTTTCATACATGTTAAAGTGAATGGTTCTATTTAAAAAAATGTACCTTCATTTTGTATAGGTAATCACATGATTTCGAGTGCAATTTGGAATAAATAAGCACGAGTAAATTTTTCAAAGACCAACAAAAGTGCATGATCCCGTAGGGCGAGTGTACTTTGTGGTCTTTGAAAAATTTACAAGTGCTTATTTATTCCAAATTGCACGAGAAAAACCATGTGATTACTTATTAATAATATACACGACAAATATCACTACAACATCAAATTTTGACAGCGCGCGTGTTTTTAGTTCATCCAGCTGATTGGCTGAAACAGACAATTACCTTTGTCAAATTCAAACTTTTTCAAGACCAACCTTTTCAAAATCATTTAGCAAAGAACTTGGAAATATGCAAGGATTGATTTTACATGATCACCAGTCTGTTAAAGACAACTCGGTTTACAATAATCAGCAAAAGTAAGTGTTTGATTGTGAGAGCTCGCCGTTTACCAGAAGCATTTACAAGATGGTGGGGGGGGGTACGCTTCGAGCAACCAAAGATAAAAGACACTTACTGAGTTGTTTAACGACTGTTGAATGTTCATCATTGCCTGTTCCTGAGACCCCATCATAGCTGGATTCACGGAGAAATTTTCCAGATTTAAAACCCGAAAATAAAGGAGGCAATTTGCTCCCTTTCGACGCTGTCATCGATGGATGGGTGGAGCCACAGTTGTTGTGAAGTCGGAAACTGCAAGTATTAATGTTATATTTGCTTTTTCTCAGCGCTGGGGGTTTCATTATTCCATTTAGCCTATTGCAAGAGAGAGTCATCGTCGCTCTTCTTCGTCGGCTTCATCGTAGACGTTGAGAAAATTTATACCTCTTTGGCCTGAACTTACAATCATTGCTTTCTTCAGCTTGCTCACTGTTTTTTTTTTCTTGCACGACGATTCCTAAACATTTTTCGCACTTTCTTTAGGCTAGTACCAGCTACGGATACTTTCATTATGTGAGTTATGATATTTTCGCCCATTGATTTAGTTTGAACCAAATATTGAAATTTTCGGTTTCGTTTGCTACTGAGGTAGAAAAAAAAAAACAGACCATCGCATGGATGTTTTAATAGAGGTCTTCGCTCGACGTAAGACTTAAAGAGAGCAATCGGACACCTGTCTCCTCCAACAAATAAAGTACGTGATTTGAAATTCCCTGTTGTTATCATGGAAAACTTGAATGTATCGTTGTTCATTTAAATACCTGAAAAGTGTAGCTGTTCTGGCTTGCGTGTGGTTGCCACCGCTTTTGTTCTTTATTTTTTACTTTAGCGTAGTCTGTTATAAGTAGCTTGTTCAGTTTCTCTGGCTCATTTTCCTCGACTTTGTTGACAGTATTTTCCTTTTTTTCAGTACATTTAGACGGAAAGACGTACTTTTTACTATGTTCGGGTTTTTGGAAAATATATTTTTAACTTTTCTATTGTTGCTCTGCGTACAAATTCAAATCGTTGTTTGCTGAAAATCATGGCCATTTTCTTAAATTTTGTTGTTAAAACAGCTCTAATCTGATTGGTTCTTGGTAGTTTCTTTTGTGTTTTCAGCCAATCAAAAACCATTTCTAGTTTGCAATCGTGTTACAGAAGAACTGCAGTCCTGTCTCAGCTAATCAGAATTGAGTAATTTTTTCGTGTATATTATTAAATCTCCTAAGCTATTCTGAAATACATGGGGCAGTTGTAATTTGTAATAACAGATTTTATCTGACTATTGTATCAAAACGGTATTAACGAAATGATTCTTTTTTGTATGTGCTGGTTTTGTCGTTAATGCATTACATGAATGTTGTATAGTTTTTATATGCAAGTTACTGATATTGTTCCGACTATAAAATTACTGTGCTTTATACACAAAATCAAATAGAATCTCAAAATCACATCTTAAATTTTGTTATAGTTTTGATTAATTGGTAAGAGAACCTTGTGTAGTCCAGTTGGGTCTGTAATCATACAGTTACTCGTGATTAAAGAAATTGGACGAACACAATTCTGTTTAGATCACTTGTATGTATGATTACCGACTGAATTGGACTCTACTCATTTGAGCCACATGCAGATGTCAGGTACCTGCTTTCAATGTACTGTTACTCGTTGGCATTGAGCTATAATCCACATCAATAACGTTCAATTTGATAGTTTGTTTTAATTTGGAACACTAATTCTCTGGTAGCATGAATCCAGTAATACAACTACAGTGGCAAGATATGTAAAAATTTATTCAAATTTAAGTCACGCGGAACTCAGCTTTCTATAATAAATTCAGGCTTTCATTCAGGGTTAAGCAGACAAGTCATGTAGTTTCTGAAATATTGCCGCAATATTTTTGTTTTGTTTTGTTTTGTTTTTTTTTTTTTTGTTGTTGTTGCTTTCAATTATTATTTCAACCGTACCAGATATCACTTTATTCTGATTACGACACTCTATGAATGGACACTGGACTTTCTTAGGACAGCCGACGAAATAAAACGGTAGGGCACAATAAAAACAAAGCGTTCTTTAACACAAGTCAATAAAGCCATGCACGTGAATCGCATTTTCCTTACTGTTTAGGGTATACAATATTTAAAAAATGAAAGCTATTAAAATTGTGTTTCGGTCGTTTTGTTTCACATCGTGGTCTTCCCTTTGTTTCAACGTGAAGAGTAATGCAAAAACAATAGTAATAATACTAATGCACTACGTTTACTATTATTCACAACTACTACTGCCAATAATGACAATAATAATAGTTATACTACTACAGGAGGAGTTTCTGCAATTTGATTGGCTTAGAGCAGTGGTATTTCAGCTTATATTGAAATACCTACATGTGAAAATTACAACCTTTTGTGGGTAGTGATATAAACTAATAATAGCATGATTTGTATGTGATATTTGGCTTAAATACCACTTGTGATACTTCTAAATTGTCTCAAATTTCACTCGCCTAGCGGCTTGCGAAATTACGTACAACAATTTCGAAATATCACTCGTGGTAGTTATGCCAAATATCACAAAGAAATCATGCTATTACCTGTATTACTACTACTACTACTACTACTACTACTACTACTACTACTACTACTACTACTACTACTACTACAACTACTACCACTCATAATAATAATAATAATAATAATAGTAATAATAGACAGAATTTAGGTTGATTCGTCAGTCTGTGATACGATCCCTCGGCCCAGTACCAGCTGTACAGTCACATAGCTTTCAAGTCGTTTACATTAGCGTAAAGGCTGTGGTCATATTGTTTGAGGTTGACATATGTCTGAAAAAATGAAAACAATAAAAGAAATGCAAAAACGTAAAAGGCACGAGATGGTGGGATTTTGATTCAGTCACATTCGACCTCAAAAACAATTCATTTCACCCAATACTCAAACATAGCTTACAGGCAACTTTTATGATTACTGAAGGCAGACAGACAAGTTATCCCCATCTTGGTATCTCTCCCTTCAGATTATCAACCCACGACTAACGACGGCGGCACACCAGAAGTGGTCACTATAATATCAAACGTTTTGTTACATACCTAGAGGTTTAAAATTCTACAGATTCAGATCAACTGAAAAGAAAAACTGAGAGGTGTAAATTTTTTTCGTGGTAATCCTGGTTGAGAGAGATCGGGATCAAAATATTTATGTACATAATGTAAACAATGTAAACTCCTTCTCATCAGTTATTTTAGAACCCTATATATGCCTTGCAAAATCTGATACTCAACCAAATGAGCTAACCAGGTCGAAGGGCGGTTTGTAGACCCTTGGTCAGTAAGGCATGTAGTGTAATGGATAAATGTTTTAAAGTAAACTGCTTCTGAAGAAACCAAGCGGAATGAAAAATAAGTACAGTAACCAATTTAATATTTAATCAGTCTCTCATACTGGGATAAGAGGGCGGGAGGGAGGTTTTACACACTCCTCTCAGCAATCACTAGCTTCTTCCCTAAATGAACCTCCCGTATCCATGATTGTTTCTCCCTTTTAATTTAAAGAAAGTTCTTACTCTTCTTACCTTATGATTTCCCTCCATCTCCTTCATTGTGTTCCTCAGTCTTTCAAACGTAGGACGATCCACTGGGTTTTCCCTCCAACAGTCAAGCATAATCTGATAGCTAATAGAGAAAAACATAAAAACATATTATTCACCACTACATCACTAGCCGAACTAGGGGAGGGACCTGGACCACGCTTATTTTTGGTCGAATTTAACCCCCCCCCCCCCGAGGGCCGATAAATGTTTTTGACGAGGCCGGTCCCCCTCTAATTTTTAGGCTCTGGATGATCGGGGACCTCACTCATTCCAGAGGATCTGAATACGCAGGTACAGTTACGGAAACCTAATAGTCTTAGCATGGCTACTGATTTTTAGAACTGAATCCGTACTGATGATTTTTTTCATTTCTTAGAACTTTCTTTTCCCTACTCGTATTATAACTCACAGTTTAATCTCAACGTGTCTTGGTTTTGGCATTCTGTATCCTTCCTGAAGTTTCTGGGCGATTTTACGGGCATTTATATCCGGATATGGAGATCCACCTGGAAGAAATGAAGCTGTACTAGCAAGAAGAGTACATAACGGAAAGAAATGTTTTTCTGTACTAGCGAAAACATATAAGGGAAGTTTACGCGATTTGAACAAAATTGATATTAATTCGAATCGGTAAACCTTTGCCCTGAGAGTTAGAATGTTTTGTTCCTTATAAGAACAGTACACAATATTATTTAAAAAGATAATAAAAACTGATCAAGCATTCTTTGTTTGTTTGCTCAATCATTCCGATATGATTATTGAAATTAATGTACATGAAGTTTTGCTTTTGCTTCATTTTGTATCTGTTCTATCTATTACGAACCATGAAAAACAAGAAAAAAATAGAGAACACAACAAAATATCAGAATGAACAATTTTCCCAACTCACCAACAGTAAGAATCTCGTAAAGTACGACACCGTAACTCCAGCTAGAACCAAACAATCAGCGTCAGGAGAAATAATAACTAACTAAAATGATAAAGACAAGGGGCGTGCACCAGCTTTTTAAAAGCTACATTCACCATTGAACTTATAGAATGCCACCTGCACAAGCAGCACAACATAAATCTCTTTCATTTTGTTGAGATAATTATCGTTGAATTTTAATTATGGAACGTAACATTCCTTTCTTTTTAGGCATAAAAGAGACAGACGAAAGCCTTGTGACTCATTGGAAAAGACAACAGATTCTACGTGGCTAACGTGAAAAAAATGTTGACTTTAATACAAAAAATACTTACACATCACTCTGTGTAGTGTATGTTCCATACATCAACGATTCATAAGCAGTCCATTTCACTGGGAGACGCCCCTTAGAAAACAATCAAATAAGAATCAATAATAATTTGTTTAAAATTTAATCTCCGCCCTTATGCCGATGTTTTGATTGTTTTTACCTTCTCAGCAACTTTTTAAACGCCGCTGAGGATACTCGAGATTTCAAAGTAGCAATTTGAACCTCTGACTACAGATCTCTTGTGATAAAACCCGACATGCTTTAAAATTAAACGGGGTGCTTAATTGAACTCACGCGACTCGTTTTGTTGTAGATGTCTTCTTGATGCACATCCCTTGCCATTCCAAAATCTGTCACCTTACATTTCTCTCCTTCACCAACCAGAACATTTCTTGCAGCCAAGTCACGATGGATAATCTACATGACAAA